GAATTTGAAAGAACAGTGCAAAATAAGTGTTTGGTAGAAAATTCGAAATTTATTTTAGATTTAAGGAAATACAGTTGTTTTTTAAAAGTACTAAGAATAACTGCACGAGTTAAACGGTTTGTTAATAAACTTCAAAAACGACAAACGATTGCAGAAGAACTTCAAAATGCTGAAATAGACTGGATAAAATATGAGCAAAACATTGAATTCAACTTAGAATTACAGAACCTTAAAAATGGTAAGTCGATTCCTAAAGACTCTCCACTTTCAAATTTAGCCTCATTTCTCGACAGTTGTGGTGTATAAAAGGAAGATTAGAAGAAGGAGAATTTAAAAAGGATGAAGCTCACCCTGTGCTTCTTCCTAAGCAGTCTAAATTTAGAAAGTTAATTATTATTCGAGAACATAATAACATTTTTCATGGTGGAGTTACATTTACGCTAGCCAAAATTAGATGTAGATTTTGGATTCCTTGAGGTAGACAAATTATAAAAAGATTATTAAGTAACTGTCTAATTCGTCGAAAGTATAAGCTGAAAACAACTAAACAGATTACTAGTCAACTAACCTAAAAGTAGAATTACTGAAAACCCTCCTTTTACTGTAACTGGCATAGATTTCACTGGCCCAGTTTTAATAAAATCAGGAAAGGATACACCTCAAAAGGCTTACATAACATTATTTACAAGCAGTGTGACTAGAGCTTTTCACATAGAATTAACCACAAATATGTCAACTAAAAATTTTATTTTGTCATTAAGGAGACTTTTAGCTAGGAGAGGAAATTGTAAAGTTATTATTTCCGACAATGCTAAGAGTCAGCCACTATGATAGAGCCACTAATGAAATTCTTAAAGAATTTTCAAAAATTATAATAGATTCAAAATTGAAAAATTTCATATCAATAAACGGCATAACTTGGCAATTATTGCGCCTCACGCGCTTTGGTGGGTGGTTTATGAAAGGCTTATGAAAAGTATCAAAGATCCTTTGAGAAAGGTTCTTGGAAGGGCTCTTCTTAACTTTGAGGAAATTATGACTATTCTGTCAGAAATTGAGTTAGTTCTAAATCATAGACCTCTTACGTATGTCCACAATGAAATAAAAGAGCCACAAGCTTTCCCACCTGCCCATTTCTTCCTTCAAGGGCAAGAAAATATTTCTTATCATGTACATTTCGTCGACCTTTTGAGGAATGAACCACTAAACTAGACTTTGACTAGGAGAAAACTGTATCAAACTAATCTTTTGAAATAAATTTGCAAAACGTGGAAGGAGAATTATCTCCTCGAATTACGGTCTGCGCACATTTTTCTAAAGCCATCTCCTGAAAGGAATCTTAGAAAGGGTGAGGTTGTATTGCTGGAAGGGTCAACGAAATCAAAATTTTTATGGCCTATTGGAATTATAGAAGTTTATAAAGGTAGGGATGAGAAGCATCGCGCTGTGGAATTTAGAATCCGCAGATTGTACCAGTTGGCAAAATGCCTGTTGCTGATCCGAGGAATCTACTCATCAAGAATCACGTAATAGTGAAAGAATTAGCTACTAATATTCTACAGAAAATTCCAAAAAAAAAAATAATAATAATTGTTAGATGTGGGATTTCTGACCGTCAGTGGCGAAGTATCCGAGGAATTTGATCGCAAATAGCGAACTTTCAGGCGAAATTTTGAAATCTTTAAAACAGCACTGCATAGTCAGATATAATACATTTTGAATTTCCTATTCACACTAATTAAAGTCAAATATAGTTAAATCATTATCCTTATAAACGAGAAAAAGCATTTATAGCTACTACGTATACTACTATATTTCTAATAATTTCAATGTTTTAATGAAAACGTTACCTTAGTTTTTAATCAAACTGCAATCTGCATTTAAGTAAACTTCAAAAGGATTTGGGGGGAAAATGTACAGCGAATCCTATACCTTCAAAGAAAAGCTATTGATTTAAAATTAGCAGCTAAAACCTTGCAGATGAAACAAAATAAAGAAAGCATGCTTAGTTACCAAAGGCAAACTTTTGTGGGGATTTTGACGGCTTTAAAAGTTCTTTTCATTCGATACCTTTGGGGGTTCATAAAATATTCCACCAAGTTTCGTCTTGCGAAATATTGCAGTCTGATCTTTGAAATTAAATTCTTTAAGCTTATTTATGTTGCATTATATGTATTTATTTTTATTCAATGAAAACTGCTGTCACAACTTTGTAAATATTTCCTTTTTCGCAGGCTCGCAAGCAAGCGGATTGCCATAAACTAAAATTTAAGAATTCGTGGAATTAGACTTTAACCTACATCTTTATTTGGCAGTATATGTACATACAATAGGGTTAGTATACTATTTCAAGATTATACAGCTAGGTATTTGATATTAACAGACTTTATGCAAGAAATTTAATTTAAAAATCTATTATTCTAAAACTCAGAAGTCAGAAGTCTACTGAAATTATGTTTTGTGTGTATGTTGATGAAGTAATACATAAAATAAACACTTCATGAATTCTGAAAATCAATAAGATAACTTATCAGAAAACGAGTTTACTAATGCTTTGTCAAGTAATGAACCCTTTGGGGACGGGAGCAGGAGCTTTAATCATATATCACAAAATTATAAGCAGAAAGGGATAAACTTTTGAGCTAGTTTAAGACCTCAGAGAAAATTTAGCCTGCAATGTGTTCATGATAAATTAAGATACGTGAAAAATTTGTAGCATATTTATTACTCAGAGAGAGAGTTCCAAAATTCTGGTAATATCAGAAAAACTTTAAAAGAAAGGGAAGATTTTTCAAGGTAAATAGTTCGTATTCACATTGCTTGTTATCTCTTCATTCAAAAACTTAATTTTGAAAATTTCGAAGGTTGTCAAATAGCGCTATATCGCTAAATCTCGCTATTTGTGACAATACTTTAGCTATTAATCTGTAAAATATTAGAAGCTTCCGTAGATTCATATATATATATATATATATATATATATATATATATATTTTTTTTTTCCAGAAAAAAGAAAGAGTTCAAGTTTAGAAGACCTTCCTTGTTAGATGTTCCAGAAAATCAACAGCTTGCATTACTTTCATGGTTTAGTTTGGTTTTATTAGATTACGGCAAAGCACTTGAGGGCTATCTGCCTTAAGAGACGGATGCCTTCGTAGAGGACTTTCTAACCATTACTTTCATGAGTGTACTGTTAAGAAGGACAAGCTGATTATAACAATAGGAAATTGAACGCTCCCTTGGGAGAAGGTATATAATAAAAAAGACTGGTTCACATTTTCACAGGTTTCATCCAAATGGTGTAACCCCCTCCCCAGGGTTTAATTCGTGGTCGAATTTATCAAGATTTGGCGGTTTTATTCAGGCCATGGGGCTATGTAGCCTGTCGCTACTTGAAACCGGTAGACAATATAAGCACGTAAGGGCGGCAACGTAACGATAAACATTCTTTTTAATTTTATATGTTGAAGTAAAAGTATCAGATGTGAATATTAAGTGTGTTTGGGTTCATAATGGATTGAATTCACACAGAATCGATGACAGCTTGATAAAATTTACTTTCCCAAAAGAAATACTTTACAACTCTGGAACTTTTCACAAAAGTACAGTATGACATAGTAATTTGAAATGGTAACTACTGATTATGCTAAGAATTTTAAACCCTAAACAAGATAAAAAGCCTCAATGTGTAAGCTCGCTGAGTAATCTCTCAATGCTTTCAATATTCCAAGCTAAAATCTGGACTAAACTGAGAATTGATGCTCTTGCCGATCTTAAGTAGTTTTCCCCTCTCCGCCGAAAAATTTCTAGTATCTTCAATTTCTCGAAATTGCTGGAAGGCATATACAGTTACATACGGTAGAATACAGGTACTATTACATACAGGGCAGGACCAATTACAGCTATACAGGGATCGGACAAAAATGTCGCCAAATTGTCGCTAAGTTGGCATTTCTCGCCAAATTTGGAGACAAAAATTACGCGCTAAAACGATCGCAACTTGACGCTAACTCGCCGATACTGGCGAGATAGCCATTTACCTTAATATTAAATAGACTTGCCCTTATAACCTTATTTTTCTAGAGAAGCTTCACTCTCTGGAGTTCTTTTATGTTACATATACAAGAGGTACTACAATTTTACATATGATTTTACTAAAATTATTTACACATATACAAATTCGTAACAATATGATAGAAACTGACATTTTCGTATTAAGATAAGCAGGATTGTGTTTTACAATCGGGAGAAGGTCCGTAGTATATTTTTCAATCAATTTATTTTATTTATCAAATCTACGATTATGTGCTTGGCTCTCCTTGTAGAATTGGAAATTAGTTTATCTTGTGTGTTCCTCTTTTTAGCTTGTTTTTACTTAATTCGTTATCGTTAAGCACGTAAGCGCCGTTTCTCTAAAAAAGGAAGGTGTGCTTTCGTTGCACTTTTCAAAGCGAAAACGCTTAGCATACATGTTATACTAGAATACCATACAACCAGCCCTTTAGCAGGCCGGGAATCACACCCGGGTCTAATCACATACGTTGTATTATCTATTCATCATCTGGTAGGCTCCTTCTCTGGGTAAGTATAATTAAACACCTTGATCAGACTCGGATACACCAAAGACAGATTTACACAGGTACACCAAAAACATGAGTCATGAGCATCTTAAAAAGATGTATTAAGTACTTAAATGCAAAGAACTTCTTATTTATCATCTATCAATACTGTGGTACTAAATACTGGAAAGTGGTTCCAAATTGTAATGAATTAAGTACATTTTTGGGTACCTAAGATTTTAAACCGTAAAATCATTTTAAAAAATAGGAAAACTAATTTGATATTATAAGCATGGAACGGTAAATAAATCAGCAATTTTAAATGTCTTATTAATTAAGAACTCATTGCAGTCATGCTGAATTTCAAAAACATCTTAATAACGGTATATATTACAAAATGCATTTGAACTCATTTCAGATCGAAATATATTCCATACATACCTCATTCATCATTTCAAAGCACAATTGCTGAACAGCAGACATTAATATTTTCTTCTTCGAAGTAGCTTTGTTTTGCTTTGTAACAACCTGTTGCAACAAAAACAAAAAAAGAGGAAGGCATTAGAATGGATAAAGTCTTAACTTAAGACGTGAAACTTTCAGTACATCAACAATGTGTTCGCATCATTTTTGACCGACCACTCTATTGCAAAGTTTCATTCAGTTACGTAAAAACATGCTTTCTAAGGCTGTGTTATTTGAGTATGACAAAGCACACAAGAACTATCTGCTTCATGGAAGATGCCTTAAGGGATGACATGTGACTCACGTTGTCATCCAACCGTGTAGCCGGTCCGTTCGGCTAGGATGATAACTGGTCGAACTGTTCCATGGTTTCAAAGAACTGTTTTCTTTTGTATTATCTGCCATAACAGACTGCTTTATGAATAAGCAGTTTTAAATATCCCTCTTAATTTGATTTAATTGCTTTGCCAAGATAATGCTTTTATAGTAATTTTTGTTTCGAATACTCGTGCCATTTCATTAAAAGAAAAGTCAAGGTTTATTTTCAGTCTTTCCCTTTGTGCCTCGTTTCGTCACGTACTCTGTCAGTGCTGAGGTTTGTCCGGCCGAGTTGACACTTACATCTTCGAGTATGAGAGCTGATACTGTAGCCAGTTAATTTGTTGTACGTTCCAGTCAGTAGCTGCAAGTCGAGAAGATTTAAATTTCGTGTTTTACATTTTAAGTTAACTCGCCAATAACAAAAAACAAAGTTAATATTTTTATCCCTTATTTCTACAATCAGTTTAAGCGAAGGTCGGTAGCTCGTCATGACAGTTAAGGTAAATTTTGAAAGCGAGTGGTTGGTAAAGGTAAATGATTAGATGGTAAGTTACCCCTCAGTTGTTACATACTTAAAGAAAAATAATTTTATAAATTTCTTTTAATAAATTTAATAAGTGCTCGCATGCAAATACTTTCTCTTAAAACTGACACTATAAATAAATAAAACAAATGCAAGTGACACCTTATTTCGAACTTCTCATCTCGTTGTACTTTCAAACACAGTCTACATGCAACAGAACTTAGCCCTCAAAAGGCGTTTCCACACATTTTAAATTACAGTAGTACCTTCTTTATTTCTCATACGACGGCTTATCTTTCGAACTTTAATTTCCAGCTTTCATTTTTACGAATTTTTCTCATTTAAAATTGCTTTATCTTTCGCGTTAAGAATGAGGAAACTGTCGTAACCAATACCAGTCTCTTAATCATCATCGTAATCCCACAGGATGAATCATTGGTTTATGTGTATGTTACCGTGAAAGACCGAAATTGGAGAATGTCGACTTTCACCGGAGAATGTCAACATTCACCAAATACGTCGGTAAAAGATCGAATATTGCACTACATTCTTGTATATTCAGACCCTCACCGGTGTATGTCGACAGTCATAGATATGCTCTGGTGAAAGTCGAAAAGAGAGGTTATAAAGTGCCATAATCGTTTAAGTTGTTGCGATAAATAAGATTTGAATCGCATAATTTAGTAATTTTTTATTACTGTTATTTTATTTTCTCATTTAGAACGTACTGTATAATTAAGTAAGTTTTTAACTTCTATTATTTCCCTTTCTCATTTTGAATGTATTGTGTGTTTTAGGTTCTCATGTTCTTAAGTTCTTATTTCAAGTCTCAAGTGCGTTTATTCGCGACTGAATTACGGAGAAGAAAATATAATATTGTTATATGTTCAACATTCACCATTAGTACATGGTGAATGTCGACATTGACCGGTGTAAGTCAGAAATAAGAGTATTTGGAAAATATTTCGGACATACACCAAGAGACTATGTGAATGTTGACATTCACCGGTGAAAGTCGACATTCTCCAGATTTCGGTGTTTCACCGTAACATATACAAACCTGCAAATGAAGTCATGAAGTAACAAACATAGAATCTCCCGGGGTAGAAAGGCAAGTCTGTTTCCACGTGAGAGTAATGCTGGTGGTGTTTCTTGAGATACAGGTTTAGTGCACTATAACTTGTACTTTCGATAAGAGATTGACAAGGATATTCTACATTACCTGCTGGATACTCTTTGTAAAAAAACGTCCGAGCAAGCTAACAGCTGCACCACGACACTGAGCCACGGCATGCGTCAGCAGTAGTAAGGAGCTTTTGGCCTAAGAATGTTTCAACTGCCCTGCGCAAAATAAGGAACGTTTAAATATCCTCAACAATAATGACGATAATATTGTCGCCATGCAGTAAAATAGATTCAATCGCAAGCACTTTGCGTAGGCTTCAGTGAAATAGTATATTTTGAATTAAAGTTTTCACAAGGTAATTAAGGAAGATATTACTCAAGCAAAATTAGCACAGGTACAAGCATACGGAAGTGATTTCAATGCTTTAAGTGCCATATGGAGATCTTGATGTATGTAGTAATGAACTTGTTAAACAAGCAGCATTGGGAATAATCCCTTACCAGAACATCTGTCGCCTTTACTATGCTCGCATCTTAAAAAAAAAGGTTGCTTATGATCAACTTTTAATTCACTGGCAAACTAGGTGGGATTCTTCAACTACCAGTCGCCGAACACAGTTTTATCGCAAGTTTCTTCCAAATTATTCTCCCACTCTTTTGCACTGACCACACTTTTAACAGGACACGGACCTTTTATGAACTATTTACATCGCTTTGAAATTAGTGATAGATGTAGTTGTATATGTAGTCTTCAAGGCTCATTTGATCGTTATGCATTTAAATGCAAGTTAACTAAATCTTACCATTTAACAAGACCATCTGAGCCTTATTGGATGGAGTGGAATAAGCACCTTATTAAACATTCAGGAGCACACAATAAAACTGACAAGGATAATAAAAATATGTAAAGAATATTACTCTTCGGTTAACTAACCATTATATTTTACCTTTATATATTTCAATGTATGTACTATATTATGTCATATTGTTTTCATATATACATATTTAATTTTAATATTTTTCTTTATACATTAATTAATTGATTAATTTATATATATCTAAATTTTCTTTATTCTTATATAAGATTATTCACTCGCTGTTTGCTTTATAGATTCCAAATAGTTCTTCTTCAAACATACCATGCATTTTAGGTTGCATAAGATGATTTAAAATTATAAAATCATGTCTTCAACATACACCAATGTAGTAAGTAATACTGTATTAAGCATTAAATTTAAGTGTTTGTCTTTTTAAGTTGTAATTGTATTAAGCATTGTAATAAGAAATAAGAATTGTTATATATTCGAATACTTTGAATGCACTGTGCGCAAAGCTGTCAAACGTTACTTCTATTATTGCGAAAACTGTATTTCTTTGCAAAGACAAACGCCGTTGATCTGCCGTTTCTGGCAGTGGTAGCTGCTAGAATAGACAAACCCTCCCCCGAGCAGGCTTTATTTAGTTTGGTCTACAACCTTAAGTCAGAAACCTGCCTCAGTAGTCAGCCTAAAGAGACAAAAGACATTGCTATAGTTAAATGTTCGGATGCTAGCAGATGCGACTGACTGAAACTCTCCTGCCAAGACAATTTGGAAACTAGCAGTGTTATATCAAAGGAATACAGGAAAAATTTTAATTAGAAAATTGTAGAGGATAGCATTAATTAATGATAAACATCATTTTATGAAAAAGAGGGAACAGTTATAGAAAATGTATTAAGGCAAACTCTGAAAATATTTGCTTATTGCAAGAGTGATGTTTACGTTACTCTCAATTTAAAGTACAAATACTGAACATGCAGGAAATCTCGAGGCGTACCCATATGCACTTATCTAAGCACGACTTTTCATTTCCTTACGAAGTATCATCTTATAATACTCTGCTTTCAAATAGTTTGCCACAGTCTTCTGATATTACTCAAAAGATGAATGCATGCGAACTCTCATTCATTTATTGATTTTCGGGCTCCTAGTTTCATCTCTAGAAAAACAATATCAAATGACCATCTTCATGCTTGCATCAGATATGATGTTGATCTTAATCAGATTTTGAAAAATTAACATTTAAAGCCTCCTGTCTGAATAATCTATTTCTGCAAAATACCGTTTTTGCTAATTTGGTGATGGTGCACAGAACAACTTTCTAATTTACATTTTAACTGTATTTCTCAGAGTCTGAGGCAATACTGAAACCCTCTAAAGCAGGGGGTTCTCAACCGGTGGTACGCAAAGAAGAACTGTATTTTTAACAATTAAATTCAAAAATTAAAACCCCAACATCCTGATTGATTTTTTTTTTCACTAACACTCGTAAATTTATGCGATCTGAACTCTGTTCAAGAGTGGTGGTAGTAGTACTTTGTAGTGGTGGTACTAAAGTTTTTCGATTTTTGTTTAGATGGTAAGCGTTAGCCAAAAGGTTCATGTTCACTGCTCATCTCTTGGCATAAAATCGTTAACATTAATGAATTTAAACCTTGGCATTTATTAGTGTTAACAATTTTCAGAAGCTTGATTCAAAACGATTTTCAGGTTTTCTAGGATTGTTTTGGATACTAAAGCTTTCCGATGAGTAGAGCAGTGAGCACATTTAGTTTCAGGTGAGACTTTTCTTCATTCGTGAAATAACACCGGAATGTTTTCTTGGTAAAGCCCGAGCTCCATCACTGCATACGGCAATGCGTTTACTTCAAGGAAGATCATTCTCAGACACAAAATTGTCAATTACTTTGAAAATTTCATTTGCAGTTGCTCTATCATTAAGAGATGCAAAAAATAAATACTCTTCGGCAATTTGTTTATCTTCTTCGAAACATATGTAAACTAATAATTGAATAAAGTTCGTTACATCAGCACTTTCACCCAATTCAAATGAGAAATACTCACAGTGTTTTCCTTTTTGAATAAGTGCCTCTTTTATGGAATTTGCCATTTCATGAATTCGTCGACGTACTGTATCATTTGATACCAGAATATTATCAAGTTTATTAGCCGTTTTTTGTTGCATAATGTTAAAACCTTATCTATAGCTGACGGTATATAAAGTTTCCTCCGATAGTGTGAGCCTGCCCAGTCTTGGCAATTCTTAGGCTTACTAGGCAACTAGCTTCTAAAGCGTTTTCACTTACGTACCAAAACCTTTCATTATTTGTTTACCATTTCGAACTCCGATAATTTCTTCTTAAAATATTCCTCAGATTTATCCTTTAAATTGGCATGCTTAGATTCCAGATGTCTTTTAAGAAACGATGGTTTCATACTTTGATTGGGTAACAGTTCACCGCAAGCAACACATTGAGATTGAGGGTCTATTTCATCTCCATTCCAAGTAAACCCAACTTTCACTTTGTTTTCTATGAACAATTTTTCTTTTCTTTTCAATATTCTTAGTACTAGTAGATTGTCCTGGATCCACCACCTGTGAATCATCACTTTCCCACTTAATCCAACTCTAGCCATTTTTCCATTTTGAACAATCTGAGTTTCTTTTCTTATTTCTTCTCAAATATTTAAATGCACAATATATTACGAGTTCTTCAAAAACAAACGACGATATTCTCAGATCGCATAGAAAAGTAAGGAATATAAAAACACAAGAAGACAAAATACTTGCAGGTAGAGACAGCAAATCGACGTAAGAAAATTATTTTAATAGAAAACAGAGTAATCTCAGAAAGGGTGGCGACAAAGTGTAAACATGCTAATAAATCATCGACTTTAAAAGAATTAATGAGATAATATTATCTTTTTATGGGAAATTATTTTTATTTCCTATTAAATACAACATCGGCTTCTATTACTCCTTTTAAAAACATAATTTATGACAAATTTTATTAACTCTATGGCTGAAAGAATATTTGTGAAAAGAAAAATGGATTATTTTGCTAAAGTCTATAGGCGGCTATCGACCTTGAACAAAGCTCAGACTGCATAAATTTAAGAGTGTTGGAGAAAAAATTTAAACAGGACGTTGGAGTATTTAACTTTTGAATTTAATAGTTAAAAATACTTTATTTATTTGCGTACCACCTATTTTTCTCTTACGTACCGCCGGCTGCGAATCGCTGCTCTAGAGGTTGCAGGTAAGAGGTCATTGTTAATTTCCTCTGGCGCAGCAAGGTCATTTTAAAAACAGTCACCCCGTATAAACTCGGATTATTTTTGTTAGACATTCAGAACTTCAGTGGTCACAAAATGTAGCAAAACAGATTTCAGGATCCTTGATTCGAATATTTGGAAAGTCCCTGAAACAATTTCTAAGCTTTATGACTTTGCCTCTGAAATTATCTGAATCTTTTTCTGAAACATACCTCACAAATCTGACGGTGGATTTCGACTGCAAACCCATTCCACAGAATGAGAAACCGGATAATGGACTCACTTGAGATGCCGCAGAAGATTAGGTTTTTTGCATATGACAAAGCACAGGAGGGGTGTTTTCGTGGATTTCCACGTTTGCTACAAGAGAACTCATTCTCTTGGAAATTATCACCGCTTACTGCTAAGTGTACACACTACCAAACAGTTTCTAACTAAAACCCTTATCTTGCCTTTTAAATTCAGGCCACATGACCGATTTTGCGGCAAAATTTTAAAACGGAATCTTTCAACACCTTCCGAGCGCCAAGATTGCTAGACATGGTAGTTCAACTAAGGCTCAAATCTTATTTAACTTGCTGGCTGCATGGAAGATTTAGTGGTTTTTACCAAGTGTAATGTACACTGGTGTGAAAAAAATTAAGGACGAAGTCGGAAAATTAGCATATCAGCTAACGGAGAGGCAGAGCGGACAGAAAGAACAATCAGGAGATTAAGTAAGGTGATGTACGGTAGCACATGCGCAGATATGCAGGTAGACGTAATGGGGGAGTGTCTGAGTAGTATAAAGCATGTTGTCGGTGTAAGATCAGTATTTCTGGCAAAGAGATTGCACGCCGTATAGCAGTTAAAATCACCGAGTTGCTGCCTCAGCGAGAAATGACGAATAATCAATCTGTTAGACGACATCTGGATGCTTTTACCAGAGGTCGAATCATTGGGAAGTTGGAGGAAGGGCGCAGTGTGACAAGTGTGGCTGCAGAGTTCAGAATTGCTCACAGCATCGTTTCACGACTTTGGAGACAATTTCAAACTACAGGAACAGCTATCCGGGGGTTTAGTAGTGGTCGTCCACGAGGAACCACACCCGCAGATGACCGGTATATTGCCTTACAGGCCAGAAGTAACAGGCGGCAGACAGCGGGAGAAATCGCTAGACACACGACACAGGCGACTGGACGACCGATATCGCGTTTTACCGTGGCCAGAAGACTGCACGGTGGTGGTCTGTTTGTACGACGTCCTGTACGGTGTGTACCTCTAACACCTGCCCATCGGAGAAGGCGTTCTCTGTGGTGCCGGGAACACCGGAATTGGTGAGACAATGAATGGGGACGAGTACTCTTTACAGATGAGAGCAGATTCAGTCTGAGTAGCGATTCTCATCGCATACTCATCTAGAGAGAGCGGGGAAGCCGCAATCATCCCTCGAACATCATTGAAAGGGACAGGTATGGAGGTGGCGGTGTTATCGTTTGGGGAGGCATCATGCTTGGTGGTCGTACAGACCTTCACATCTTCGACGCAGGTTCAGTCAACGGGACCCATTATTGTAACGAGATTCTTCTTCCATATGTGCGTCTTTTTAGAGGCGCTATGGGTCCGCAGTTCCTTTTCATGGACGACAATGCACCATGTCATCGCACAGTAGCTGCCGAACAGCTCTTAGAGAGTGAGGATATTGAACGTATGGATTGGCCGGCACGATCTCCGGATCTCAATCCCATCGAGCATGTATGGGATTTTCTAGGCAGACGCTTGGCAGCTCGTACCTTACCACCAGTAACGATTCCGGAGCTTCGATTGGCGCTGCAAGACGAATGGGCAGGAATGCCTCAACAACTCATTGACACCCTCATTCTCAGCATGGGCAGACGCTGTGAAACCTGCCTAGCAGTCAGGGAAGATCATATCCCCTATTAAAGACCGGATGTTTCTTGCTGGAACCCATCACAGGGATGTTTCGGCCTTCAGTCGCATTGCGCTCCATGCTACTTTTTCAATAAAGCTTCTTTTTTATCCCTTTGATTTCTCTTTTAGTAAGTGTTGCTTACATTACTCACGTCCTTACGTATTGGGGATCTTACGGTATTAAATGTGTTGATTTGGAAAGCTTTTGTACAAAGTTATATTGAAAAAACTGTCTCGTCCTTAATTTTTGCACATCAGTGTAAATACGAGCCGGTTTTCCACAAGAAGTTCCCCACGAAAACATCCGTTTCTTTAAGGACATAGCCCTCGAGTTCTTTGCCAACCAAATGGCCCATTTGAAAAAGAATTTACTTTCAATACATACTGAATAACTTACCGGAGATTTGGATAGTGTGGAAGATTCTCTGGTTGGAGCTAATACAGAGCGTCGGGGTTTACTTTTTCCAGAATGAGATTTTTCACTGTTAACATTCGGTATACACTCAGAACTTATTGAATCTGAAAGATATTCAAATGAATGTAAATTATTTCAAAAGTTTTGCATTATTGATTGGAAACATTTAATTTTCATGCCAGTTATCAGAATTTATGTTAGTCAGTTGATTTCTGTTAGTGCAAAAACAGCTGGGTTGTACTGCGCCAAATATAAGTCGTAAATCTTAATTATTCAAAAAATCCTTCAAATACTAATTATTATATTCAAATACACACGCATATACACACACATATATACACACATAAAGTACATACCTAAAGTACTTCAGGGATGCGACAGGTTTATATACCCTATACTCGGTGCGATATATCGTTTCACACACTGTTGTCTTAAATCGGCTCTTTGCAGAGAAGCAGCAGGCTACATACTAATGAAAGAGGAATTGGCATGCAACTTGTCGTTGGACCCACAACTGTTTCATGTCAGAAGAATGAGTGTTCTAATGCATGTTTCAACATACGAACCAAAACTGCTTGTTCCACTGGAACACAAACTGGTCTTTCAGCACAATCGGACAATTCGTTACTACCAATACATTCACGCCTAGCCATCCAAGATAATAGAATATTATACCTCTCGTATTTCGGTAACTGCAAGATGTTAAAAAGATCAGAGACAACTGGATGACAGCCATCATAAAAATATTCCTTGGTTTTTTGTAGGGAATTATTTAACTTTTCGTTGGATAATTAAAGCAATGTCTCTTTGGCAACTATTTTTCCTGACTGTTCTGATGTTCCAAATATCTTTAAAAGCATTTCTTTATTTATGAACAAATACAGAGACAGTACACACGAAAAATGTCACATTCAATGTGTTAAGGCACGTGGTTCTGTCCTATCTTTGATGCTTGTGTGACCATTTTTCAACAAGATAATGCATGAAAACATGTTGTCTGTGCTGTCCTGACCTTTCTCGATACACAGGAGGTTCGACTGATGCCCTGGTCATCACATTCTCCAAGATCTCTCACCCACTGAGAACATTTGGACATTTGTGACCAAGAGACTTTCGCGCCACCCCAAGCCAGTCATTACGACTGATAACTCTGACAGAGTTGAGGCCGCACGGAAGGAAGTACCACTGTATCTGTCATCCAAGCTCAGTTCGACTCTATGTCCAGCCGGATTATAGCCGTTGTTGCTGCCAGAGGTGTCTTAAATTCTGCATGCTCTGTACTCCAAACCCCCAGCAAATTTAGTATATATTCCTTACATTATACTATATATATACAATAAATGAGATTTTGCTACTTTCTGCATGCTCTGTACTCCAAACCCCCAGCAAATTTAGTATATATTCCTTACATTATACTATATATATACAATAAATGAGATTTTGCTACTTTCTTTCTTTCCGGGTGTAGCGACTTTAACGACCAGCAGTATATTTAAAAATACAAATTAAACTTTTTCAAAATGTTTGCCATAAATTTTAACAGCTTTTTTAAGTAATTCCATGTAATGTCAGCTAATAACTGTATAGTTCTTAATTACCTGTCTGAGTCAACTGCTCCCCGAATTTCTCAGAACAAAATGAGCATTTATTTTCGCCAGTGTCAGCTAAACTTTCTTTAAACTCGACAGCTGATTTCTGAAAAGAAAAATGTTCATACATTTTTAAATCTTTAAAGAAACTTTTCATAAAGTTTCGATGCACATTTATTTACATCTATTCAAGTTTTAGAGCTGTTAGTATTAGTTTTGTATGACAGACATACATTATTTATGAATTCAAAAACTATAATTTACATGTAGATAATGATTTTTAACAGAAGACAGTTGAAATATCTCCAACCAAGAAGAGACGAGCAGTGCATGTTTTCATACTTTTGTACTTGCAGTATGTTACTTACACAAATATTCCACGCTTCTACCTTGCAATTAATGATTTATGACACACTCTCTCACATACCTATAGACAAAAGTTACCGGACACTCATTCAGAAAAGAAACATTATTCAATGAGATATAATAAAATATTGGCCCAGCTGTTGCAGTAATACATGTGCTGAGCCTCTAAGGTATCCTTTTGATTTTGAAACACATCAACATAAATATACTTCTTTCTCGGAGTACCATGGCAAATGTTTACCGAGTAAGGAACTGAGAATCTAGGCGTGTTAAGGCTGAGATTTAAAAGTTCTTAACTCCTCTATAGCATCTGCTGGATGTTCCATCGGATTACATCAAGACCCTAAGGAGGCTTGTCATCTTATGTCAGATTAAGTTAAATTAGGTTAGGTTAGGTTAGCATACGAGGGCTTTCTGCCTAAAAGGAGGGATGCTTTTGGGGAGCACCTTCAAAGGGAAACTGGAGGATCGTATCCAAACAACAGCAGCCCATTCAGAACAGAATACAGTTCTCAAATTAATACATAATAATATTACTTTATGAGTAGATACATGTCATACCATTAACCATATATCTCTTTGTGCCATGGGATTTGTGAGACATAATTGTCAAAGATGTCAAGATAAGATTTTGTGTCCTATTGTCCTACTCATTCGATGGCCAAACTCAGACCGCATTAAATATCCTAAAGTAATAACCCCCATGAAAGCTGACTGGGAAACTGCATGTCAGTAAATAATAGTCTTTCGATGAGAATTCAGAACACATGTATGGTGTTAACAATTACGTTCAATTTGAGCAGTGTGCCACATAACCATGCAAACCGATGAAATGATAGTTTTTTACAAAAGTGAATTTAATTTTATTGATTCGTTTAAGGGTAAATAAAAATGATTGTTTGAAGCGATAGGATAAAGGCTTAGTTTAGGACTACATGGAGAGGATAGGGCTAAGTTTAGGTAATACAGTCAGACAAATCGATGGAATTAAATATCCTTGGTCGGAAGATTCAAAATTGTAATTGAATAGTTTCTTTATCAGGAGATTGTAATTTTTGTTTGTTGAAGTACGAACTCTTTCTTGCACTGTAGCCTGTGACTCATACTATAAATTACCTATTATACCACAGAAAAAATATATCATTGCCACCTTTGTTTGCTTAGCTCTAGTGTAGTAACGCATCGATTAAATATCCCGGCTCTTTAAATTTCTCCCGTCTTTCCAACGTCACGATACATGCCCCGCTTGTACATTTTGATACCTAAAGCAAACCACTATTCTCCCAGGAATGCACTACATATAAATCCATTGATATGAGTTATGTTTAAACACTGGATGTTTAAACACTGGATATCTGACAGATAAATCTGTGTTTCTAACAACCCACAATAATGGTTTTCTCGAACTTTTATCAGTCCTCGAGTGGTTAACTGATTAAAGCAAAGTAAATGAGGGTAGTCTGCGTAAGAAAATGGTTTGCTTTATTTGGCTATGGCATAACCATGCAATTGCTGTTTGTCTAATGGGAGGGAAGGCTTTCTAAGAAAGCTGGCTTGTTTCCATATTACATATGGGGAAAACTCTAGAAACGCCTACCCACCAACGGCCGAACGGCTGAGCATTGGTAGTTCGGTCTGGGGTTCGAATACCAATGAATGGGCTGGTTGCATGAGAGTTTTCGTGGTTTCCCTATGTGTAACGAGTGTATCATCCAGTTTTCCTTAGAAAGTCCTTGAAGCTAGCTCTCAAGTGCTTTGCCATAATTAAGCCAACCCGAAAAGGCACATGCAGCCAGCCCGTTCATCGGGATTCAAACCCAGGTCAAACTAACAGTGTTCTTTGACTTTACCTCTCAACCACTGGTGGGCGCATATGGAAAAGTACACAACTTCATACACAGCTTTTAAGGAAAACGGGATCATACCCCCCCCCAATGCAGCCAGCCTGTTCACAGTTGTTTGATTCCGGATCGAACTAGTATGTTCAGTGATTTTACCGTTCGTCCGCTGACTGACCTTGTAAGGTCTCAGCACTTTCAATTAAACTCATTGCGTAAAAGCCAGAAATAATACTTCATGTATTTTTAAACGATTTTTCCTTTTAATACGTGCTCTACTTAACGAATTTCTAATAATGGCCAACAGTTTATATGCCAATATTTGAGGACATGTGTGCAGATCTTGAAATAAAGAATACGAAAATGTTTCTACGTCGGCCTCAGTCCAGTATCGTACAGGGCACGAACAATATAGTTAAAACTTTTGCATACGTTAAAGCATATCATCTGGAGATTGGATTACGATGTTATGAACTTGAGTATGCATTAAAAAGGAGTCAACAGATGTTCCTTCATCATAAGTACCAGAGAAATTACTGTAAAATTGTTCTTGAAAAGAAAACATCATTGAAAAAGGCTTTTCTTTGCTCAGAAACGGGAAGAGGAGTTCAAAGAAACTTTCAAAAACTGATCGCCGAGGCAATGACAGATCTGACAAAGCGTACGCTAAGCAGAAATTTTATTATGAAAAGAGAAGACGTGAAAAACTTGGAAGTGGGAGAATTAAATGTTAGCTTCGGCTTTTCAAAACAAAGTCGGTAAGTGTTTGTCGTAAGTTTTGAAAAATCATATGTAACGCAGAGAAAAAGGCCCATCCCTTGTCAGTTATAGGTAAGAGATGGTTTGGAAAATTTGGATCGAAAAATCAGTTCTATAAAAGAGAAGACTTTTTTGATTAAGGATATAGATAGCAGCACGGTAGAAAGATCGTCCAAGCACTTCACCACAAAGTCAACCCAAGGGAGATCATAGGAATACAAATAATCCTGTGGATCCTTCACCTACCTTTAGAGAAAGAAAGGACATAGACATAATCAGGAAGTTGCAAAGCTTCCTAGAGTGAGGTCAACGAATGATAATGACCAAGCGTACACGATCAAAAATGGGTAAAAAGAATCTTGCTGTGGCAACAGCCAAATAGCCTACGGCATCTTGAAGGCTGGAGTCATGCTCCAAGCATATCAACGAAGCGGAAGCACATTAGGGCTATATGTCTAGGAGGAAATGCCTTCGTGGAGGGCTTTCTAAGGGAAACTGGCTCGAATTCATGTTACACATAGGAAGAATCACCAAAATCATGCACTTAGCCGGTTCGCTTGGATTCTAACACAAGCTCGAGTCTTAAAAGTAGTCGAGTGGTTAAGACCACTACCATCAAGTAGTGGTCTTAACCACTCGACTACTTTTAAGACTCGAGTAGAGAACGGAGAACCAGCAAGATACATATGAGGAGAGGAATGCCATCCACACCTGGAATCAAGTCCTCGGCAACCAAAGTCGTCGATTTCTGGGAAAAGGCGGAGACAGATGGAATGGGTGCAACAGAAGCCATATCACAGAAACTAAAAATCCAAGGAAGGAATTAAATGGCCAAGGAAGAAACAGTTTCGAAAGGAACAGAAAGAAAATAGATCTAAAACACGGATCTAGGTACAGCAAATGAACGAATGGAAAAGTAAGACACAATAACACGCCGAATAAATACTAATTCAGAAGTCAAACAACAAAAATCAGCGTTATATTTACAAAATTTTCACAGGACTAGTTTCGATGGTTTTACCGAACCACCATCTTCAGCTGCAAAACCGCAAATGAACAAGATAGGAAATAATGATTAGATAAGATAAGAAAGCCTGGACAAGAATAAGCAAGTGGCGCCATCTGTTGGTGAAACCAGAACTAAAACATAATTTCTTTAAAAGCCGAAGGCAAATTTGGATTGGAATTAGGATCGTTAACTAGAACAGAAAGATTTTTATGAATGTGAAATGCCTCTAGAAAATCCAGTTCTCCAATGGAAGATGTTTTTGAATAATTTTGGCAGCAGAAAAACTGAAAGTGTGGTTTTCGGACCAACAATATTGAGCAACAGAAGACTTCTGTGTTTCCTTTTTCCTAACATATGCCTCATGTTCCTTGACGCGAAATTTTAAGGCTCTCTTAGTTTGGCCAATGTAAATTAAACCACACTGGCAAGGAATCCTATAAATACCCCAGGAATTCATATCCAGAATGGGGTCCTTGAGTATGGAACTCGGAATTTTATTGATGGGAGAATAAACAACCCGAAAGTTAAATTTCTGCAAAATATGTGCAACTTTATAGCTGATTGATGGAAAGAAGGGAATGACAATAAAATTTTTATAATCTCCTAAAACAAGAGTGTGCCTTTTAGTGTGTTGAGATGAGAATATTTTAACTGCTTGATTAATTATGTTGGGTGGAAAGCCCCTGTCAATAGCTATTGCTCTTAAATACTTTAGTTCTTCATCAAGGGCTAGTTTGGAGGAACAAACTTGGAAGAGCACGGAAAACATAGGAATAAAATGAAGCTAACTTTTGTTTAGTTGGATGACATGATTTAAAGTGTGGTGGAAGGCAAACCGATGAAGGTTTACGGTAAACCGTAGTACTGAAGTTGGATGTGTTACGTGTGACCAGAATGTCGAGAAACGGAAGAGAATTGCAAGTCTCAAGTTCAAAAGTGAACTGAATAGCAGGATCAATAGAATTCATTGTTGAAAGAACTTTATTTAAATCATCTTTATTACCTTGAAACAGAGTAAACGTATCGTCTACGTAGCGGAACCATGCCGGGAAGTTTAAAGTTTCAAACAATTTTGATTCATAATAATGCATGTCCCGGCATTATTATGAATCAAAATTACTTCCCGGCATGGTTCCGCTACGTAGATGATACTTTTACTCTGTTTGAAGGTAATAAAGATGATTTAAATAAAGTTCTTTCAACAATGAATTCTATTGATCCTGCTATTCAGTTCACTTTTGAACTTGAGACTTGCAATTCTCTTCCGTTTCTCGACATTCTGGTCACACGTAACACATCTAACTTCAGTACTACGGTTTACCGTAAACCTTCATCGGTTTGCCTTGCACCACACTTTAAATCATGTCATCCGACTAAACAAAAGTTAGCTTCATTTTATTCCTATGTTTTCCGTGCTCTTCAAGTTTGTTCCTCCAAACTAGCCCTTGATGAAGAACTAAAGTATTTAAAAGCAATAGCTATTGACAGGGGCTTTCCACCCAACATAATTAATCAAGCAGTTAAAATATTCTCATCTCAACACACTAAAAGGCACACTCTTGTTTTAGGAGATTATAAAAATTTTATTGTCATTCCCTTCTTTCCATCAATCAGCTATAAAGTTGCACATATTTTGCAGAAATTTAACTTTCGGGTTGTTTATTCTCCCATCAATAAAATTCCGAGTTCCATACTCAAGGACCCCATTCTGGATATGAATTCCTGGGGTATTTATAGGATTCCTTGCCAGTGTGGTTTAATTTACATTGGCCAAACTAAGAGAGCCTTAAAATTTCGCGTCAAGGAACATGAGGCATATGTTAGGAAAAAGGAAACACAGAAGTCTTCTGTTGCTCAATATTGTTGGTCCGAAAACCACACTTTCAGTTTTTCTGCTGCCAAAATTATTCAAAAAACATCTTCCATTGGAGAACTGGATTTTCTAGAGGCATTTCACATTCATAAAAATCTTTGTTCTAGTTAACGATCCTAATTCCAATCCAAATTTGCCTTCGGCTTTTAAAGAAATTATGTTTTAGTTCTGGTTTCACCAACAGATGGCGCCACTTGCTTATTCTTGTCCAGGCTTTCTTATCTAATCATTATTTCCTATCTTGTTCATTTGCGGTTTTGCAGCTGAAGATGGTGGTTCGGTAAAACCATCGAAACTAGTCCTGTGAAAATTTTGTAAATATAACGCTGATTTTTGTTGTTTGACTTCTGAATTAGAATAGAAAAGTGTTCCTGCGTCGAAGAATGGTCATGTCTAGAGAAAGGAAAACTCCCAATTAAGGAAAATGCTAAGTAAATTTCTTCTATCAACAAATATTCTTTACTATGTATACTGCAAGTCCCCGTTTTAATCTCAGATGAGGACTGATAATATAGAATTGTGTTTACCATAAGAACTGTAGCTACCAATATATTCTACTTTTCTTAAGACTATAGCACATGTATAATTGTCGAATCCGGGGGAGGAGAATATTGGTTCTAAGCAATTTATACCGAAATGTATGTAGTTTAAAATTATAATGAAGTATTTATAAAAGAAAATTTTTGCGCAATCTCCAGCCAGTGATTTTTAGATTGAGACACATTAGGAAATATAATTTATTTTAAGGTGTTTTTGAAGTAGAGTGTGTACAGAAATAGCCCTAGTTAGTTAAGCGGTGGAATTTGATTTATACAACAAATGACATGCATTCGTTTTCCCATACAGACAAGGTTGGAGACGAAAAAGATACGTATTATGCATAATGGAGATTTAAGTAGATGAAATCTTACAAAAATGTAGTAAATGTATTTGGTCTTATTATTTACTTGTGATGTACTTTTAATGTTAGTTATCTCTTACTTGAATTAAAAGGTTTTTCATTCCAGGAAATCAGAAAGAAATAATTGTGATCTAGCCAGCGGGAAAAGCAACGGGTAGTTTTACATTTAAAACTCATACTATAACCGATATTCGGTGACATCTGAAGACTTGCACTGAACTATTATGGTTTTTCATTAAATGACTGACCTTTCTTTTGCAATTCAAACAAAAGTACAAACAATTTGTCTCGAGAACATTTGCGTAGAATTCGACTATTGATTAAGTCTCTAATGAAGAAATCTTACTAAAAGCTTGAAGTTGAACGTATTACGTTCTCAGTTTCGTTATACTTTTTAAGGATAAATACGACTTTCGCAGAAATTCCTTAAGATAAAAAAAAACTGGATGAAAAGCTGTATCCTAAAACGTTTCTAAAACTTTTTTGTGACTTTATGTAATTATATCAGCTGTTCTTCAGAAACCGAGGTAAATAAGTAGATATTCTGCATCTTTATTATCAAACACAGATTGAAAGAAAGAGAATACAAATGCATTTATTTTCAAAGACAACACAGCTTGTTAATCAGGAATTCCTTAAACTTGCATTCATAAGAAATCATAAATTAGGACAATTATTTTATAATTAGACATAATAGAAATTTTTTGAAAAAGTGTCGTGTATAAAATGATAGTTTAGAATCAAGTTACTGAAATACACGTATAGTACTTAATCACTAATAATATAAAAGAAATATGAAACGCATTCGCTGAATAAAATTTCAATTCTGCCAAAGAATGGTTTTCGAAATTATATTACCGATTATCAAAATTTCATTAAAAATTATTCGATAAAATAATATGAAATGCAGAACTTAAATAATTTTTAAATCTTACCAAGAGTAGAGGTGTTTTAATTTCACTATTTTTCTTATCTTCTGACGTCTGATCTGAATCACTTTGAGCTTCTATACTTTCTACAAGGAAAAAAAAGAAATGTGAATAGCAATTCATAAACACAAACATTTTTCATTTAATATGTTAAAGTAATTTAAATATGTATAATTACGTAAAAATGGACGAGATAAGGCTCATTTTCATAAATGAGCAAGAAAACACAAATGATTTATGCTTTTTCAAACATAGTTCTCATACTGCGTAAGATGAATTAATATGGGCCTGTGACTCTTGTGCTTGAAATAAATACTTTGAGCTGATTAATTACGTTGTTAAAACCCGAAGGTCTCTAAGCAAACTATACTGATCAATTCGTAGAGTGGGATTGTATTCAATTCAAACCTAAATAGTACTTTTCATTGTAAAGATGAGACAATAATTCTGCAAGAGTAACCGTTCGACAACATACCATATAATACGAAATTAGTCGATTAGAATTTGGAAGATCAACCAAATAAGACTAGTGTTTTCATCATTAAAATTTTTCTTCAAAGCAGATATTTCTGTTGGGAAAAATTATATATTAGGAATTGACAGAGCGAACCCCCCCCCCCGAAAAAAAGAAAAAAAAAAAAAAAAAAAACGAAAGTCTTCTCCTTTGCAATAGTGTTTCTGTAAACTTTAGGTCAAAAGAATGTTTTATTTAGAAGTAACAAAACAGTTCAAAGAGGAAACAGATTGTGAATAAGTATTTTAGTTACGATTCGATTCATGAACTGGCTTAAAATATGAATTGAGAAGGACTGAATTTAATTTTGAAAAGTAGTTTTAATAGCAGGATTGGGCTAGATTGCAATTTCTGACACCCATGGGCAAAACCACAAAGTCGTCTACGTAGCCAGCCTGTTCAGCCTGGCCAGCGTGATTAGAACCTGTATTGTACTAACAGTATTCAGCAGCGTTATCTAGTCTGCCATACTGGGAGTTATTTGACAACAGAAATAAATCTAATTTTCAAAATTACTTCTTTCTTTAAAATAGTTTTGAATATTTAACAATATGCATCTTAGTAGTTATCATTTACGTCTTAAATTTTAAACTTCCTAATTAGGTTTAATTATAGCATATGCAGCCATTTTTCAAAATTTTATAGAAGACAAAATACTTACACAAAAATAATTTAAGGCTTTAAAATGAAATTTTAAAGGAATACTGAACAATTTAAATCCTAAACACTTAAATGTAAGCATTTGTTGTTTTAACTTGTGGACATAAATGAAATGATAATAAAATATTTCTCAACTAGTTAAAACAATTACTGACCTGAAGTTGGAGCACATGCATGTAAATATTTTGAAGTTTCATCATTTTCAATGTGAGAAATGTGTTCAGAGATCCCCACTGATAGTGCTTCAACCAAGCACTTGGACGAATTTTTTAATTCTTCCTGCAAAGCTTTTTCTTCACTTTCGAAAGTCTGCCGCTTCTGCTCATATTCCTTCGAGAGAGATTCGCAAAATTCTTTATTTTTTGCAAGAGAATCCGTAAAATCCTATAAAAAATTTCCTTCGATAAAGAATTATGGCTTTGATTGCAAATATTTCTTTTACAAATAGGAAAAGAAATCATTTGAAAATAATAAACGTTTTGCAACAGAAGACATTCACATAAAATTTTAATGTCGTGATAAGCAAATACACTGCCAAATTTCCTGTATAAAATATACCAAAAATATTCTCCCTTATTACGCACATAATTATCCTATGCTTTTGGTATCCTTACGCAAGACTGCCTAATAGCATTCATTCTGATCCGTTTTGCAGCTCCATCGCTGGTATTTAAATCGCATAAAATTTTAGTGTGCCAGTAAATGAAAAGTACAGAAATTTACATCAACTCTTAAAGTTTTAAGTCTTTTAAATTATTCTTTAAATAAATTTCAAGCTCGCTTGAGTTACCAAGATAACTAGATGAAAGGTATGATACAATGAACGGCAACGCTCAAGACTCTGAATTCCCATAACAGAGAGATCTCCAAAAGTTAAATCACACCTTAACTGATCGAATTATTAAGCATTAGAATTTCTAATGTCCCACTTGAAGCTAAGTGTACGAGATATTCACGGACTGGTTGTTCGACCAAGGCTCAATTGCCGGTGAACGGTATACCTGCACGGTTGTTTTCCTGATTTTACCATTGTGTAACGTGAGAATAAGGCAAACTTTCCTGTTTAAAATCTACTAAAAAATCATGCCCTATTATGCAGATAACTATCGTTTGCTTTTCCTAATAGCATCAATTCTGATCTGTTTCCGGAGCTTTGCAGTTGGTAATGGGCCTAGAAAAAATCTCATAAAAGGAACTGGCTGCGATTGAAGCTTATGACAGAGAACATTAATTTACTCAAAAGTTAATGACAAGTATGTTTCTTTAAATAAGGGAAACACACAAGAGCTCTCTGGAAAAGGGATTTCGTGAGGACAAATTAGACCATTTCGTATTTATGTTACACAATATGGGAAACATCGTGGTGCCAGCCCGTTCAAACCTGATTGAGCTACCAATGCTCAGCAGTCCTGTCCACTCGGCTATGAAACAGTATATACACCAGGTGTGACAAATTTCGGTGAATGTGTTCATAAACAAAAGATTTTTACATAAATCGGGTTAGATTAGTTAGATTGGGTTATAATAATAGGATAAAGCACATGAGGCCTATCCGCCTTACCTAAATCATAAAAAATGTTTTATAGTCCTTCAAAGTAATGTCTGTTGCTAGCAAAGCACTTTCGACGACTGTACATTTGCAGAAAATTGTGGGCAAAGTCCTCTTCCGGTATCTCAAAAAAACCCCTCGTCACATGACCTCGAATGTCTGATTCCTTTTTAGGGCTTTTTCAGATGCTGAAACAGAAAGAAGTCTGCTGGAGCAAGATCAGGTGAGTACAGTGACGGATCGACGGCTACAACTTCTCTGCATGCCATAAACTGTTTGACAACGTCGAGGTCAAATAGGCGTCAGGTCGAGGGTCAAATGTGGCGTAATTATCAGAACGAACGAACAGCTCTTTTCAGCATATTCTGGACGTACACGACAAATCTTTCGCAATATATGCCAGAGTATCGTTGTGAGTGTCAGCATTTATTGTTGCACTTTCTGGACATCTTCACTTTCTAAATATTGTCGCCAATACGAGCCGTCGCAGGATTACAACTTCGGGCAGCGTCCTCAGTGAAATTCCGCCCATTCGGAAAAAAATTTAAGCCATTTGTAAACACACTTTAAAGATACAGAGAGCTTAATCTCCTTAGATTTACTTAGTTTGGTGGTGTGGTGTATTTAATTATGGCAAAGCACACGAGGGCTATCTGCCTAAAGGGAAGGATGCCTTTCGTGGAGGACTTTCTAAGGGAAACTGGCTCGTATACACATTACACATGGGGAAAACCACGAAAACGCCCATGCAGCCAGCCCGTTCGCGGGATTCGAACCTCAGACCGAACTACCAGTGTTCAGCGTCTTTACCGCTCGGCCGCTGGTGGGCTTTACTTAGTTTGAAACAAAACTTTAAAATAATGGGCTACTCCATTTTGCACTACTGATAAGCCTTTGCACGTATTACTAGCAGAAATCCATAATGCCTATCACTGCATCGCTCTCAGACATGTTCAAAAACGTTATGGAGTAAGTTTTCCGCACGTCATCGTTCATTCACGACCGCCTGTGTGCATCTTGCATCATTCTCGAACTTTATTGTCATGCACTGTATATTAAAGAAGCTATTGCGTTAACTTACATAGTAGATTACCAAGTTTATTTTGTTCATCGGCTCTTTTCTGAAATTTTGTTCGGCTGTTTCTTTAGTCTTTCAACAGTGATAAAGTAGATATTATTTGTAGGTAGTGACTGAATACTCACCGAAAGTTTCAATTATTTGATGAAAGGGCACAAAAAATAATGTCCACATAAATTGGTTGTTGAGGTTAAGGATAAATTATGAATAAATGCGTTAAAGCTTTCAAAGCGTTTATATAAATTCATTGTGTCACACAGATAGGAAACATTTAATGGTAAGTTAAGTATTTCAGATTTGTGATTAATTTAACTTTTTAGTAGATCTGCAAACAAAATTGTTTTTTCAAATAACTACTATCCTTCTCCCACTAAATATGCAGTCGTTGTTAGGTATTCGAATAACGTATGCATTTTAAATTTGCTAAGTTTTAAAACTAGAATTAAACTGGAATAAAAATGGGCAATAAATAACGTTCCAAATAAAAAAGAATTTTACTGGAATAATTTATTATGTTTAAAAAATTTAGTATAAATTAGTTCAACTCCAAAAATCTGATCTTGAATCAAAATCATTTGATTGAATGGTCCCGTTTTACTATCTGCATGTGCTTAATTTTGACATTTCAAATGTCTGTAGCTTAATCTTTTACTTTTCAAGCTTCACTTTACGCTCTAAAGTCGATCATTACTTATACAGCCTGGTATATTTTCCTTCGTAGCGGTGTTTTTATTTCAAATGGCAAAAAATGTTTAATTTTCAAGGTAAAAATAATAATTTTAAATGGTGAGATTTAAAAGCAATATAGATATTTCGTATTTATTATATCTTTAATTTTAATTATATATGGTAATTTTTATTAATTTTATAAATTAGATGAATTAAAGTATTTTTATAAGCATTTCGTTTCATTGTGTAATTAACAAATAATGTTTCAAATACACCAAATATCCACAATTATTTCATCTGAGGCAGTTTCTTCTTTGGCTACTCACAGAACAACGTCCACCAGTAAAATTCAAGTCTTGAGTTAGGATTTATTTTGTAAAACCATGCTTTATATTATTAAAACTGTATGTATAACAGAAAGGTAAAATGGAATTAATGTGGAATACGTGAATGAAAAGTCAATTCAAATGTTTAAAACAAATGTCTGTACAGCACTTTTACGTCACAGAATAATCCTGAAGGAAAACAAAGTATATGCAATGAGCAACAAATGAGCATGCAATTAACAAGCAATGTAGTTTTCAGATACCTCTCGACCTTTTACAGAACGAATGTAGAAGATTATCAGATGACTAATTGATTGCTAGGCAGCAGGGAATAATTACGTAAAATATTTTCAACTATTTTACACAGAAAATAATAAAAAGTAATTGCCTTTATTCTGTAGAGCATATTAAGAACATCGGCCCACAGAGTTCCTGTACTTTTTAACTAACTTATACACCAGAGATGTAATACTTCAAACCCTTCAAGTTTAATAAAAACATTGAAATTTTTATACGTTTAAAATAATCTGTGTAAAAAATGTACTATCTACATACCAGCATATGTTAAATTAGAAAGTAAGCTCACCTTAATGCATGCAGTTACTTCTAATTGCTCATGTGCTTCATTTTCACTATCTAAAAGTTTTTTCTCCATTTCTTTGCAGAATTCATCTATATTCTTCATGTAAAAAAAGTCGATAAATTTAAAATAAACCCATTAATTACTTATTTTGGCAGTTTTTATATAATGCGAGCATAATATAACAATTTTGACATAAATGTAACATTTTCATCACATAAGAATCAAAATCATAAGCACTCTAAAAGTGCTCCATTAAAAAAATTAATTCAGAAGTTCAGTTCCCTTGCAGCAGTTAGTGTGTAAATCACACGAGCTTTATCGTAATACTACTAAGTACTTGCGCAGTTACTTTAGAGTTACTGTTTAAAAAGATTTATAATATATTACAATAGGTACTATCAAAGTTAACCCATGTGTTGAGAAGAAAAGCACATTTAAAAAAGAATGTAAACATACAACTATTCATTCTTTGTTACACAGGAATGCGGATAAAACACTAAGTAACTTTTAAGAATAATTATTCAAAACAAGATAGAGGTTAAAATCACTCAGAAACAATCTCTGTGAATACCTAAATCTTTTCTTAGAATTAAACTAATCTAGGGAAGACTTCAATGCCAGGGTTAAGATTTTTAGTCCTTTTTCCAGAATTGTAAACGTGGGTTAAAGGCGTTACAGAATGGTATTTCTTAAGGTACTTAACACATGAATGCAAACACACACACATGAGCACATATTTTAACACAAATACACATGAATTTTTCTGAAGTTTTCTCCTCTGTGAATATCCCTAGTAATCGCTGAATGAATTCAGGGAACTGCAAAAATTACCGGGGACTCCCATTTATTCCCATTTCATGAAGGATTGCTTAGAGAGTCTGAATATGAGACATAATGTACAGCACATAAAATTTTGTTTTTAAAATAAGTTTAGTACTGCGGAAAAGAATTTATTAGCCTCACACTGAAAAGACTGGGAGAATTTATAAAAAATTTGCATCGCTGAGTTCATCCAGACAGAAGGTGAGCGGAAATTTTGGTGCACATGTAGGAAATTTGTAAAATTTTGGGAAATTTTTAAACTTCAAGGGGATTTTTAGCTCATGTTTAATCTGCTAATGGGATAAAATGTGTTGAACCGACACTGTAAAAAAAAGTTCGCTCTTTACAGGCAAAAGTTTTGTAAAGTTACAGAAATCAAAAAGTTACACAAGAATTTCCTGTAATGGTAACAGGTTGAAAGCAAACTGTGGCTGGTAACAGCTGATTTGCCTTGTAACATTACAGATAATGTTTCAGTAGCCCGCGGAAGCGGAAGAATCACGTGACTGACTGGAAATTAGCCAATCAGGAGAAAAGTGTTTGAAAGCTAGTTGCAGAAAAAAACATGGCTGAATGCATGTTGGTTGTATAGCGCAGGTAAGTAAGAAAATGTTTACAATTACTGTTTGAAATATTTTTTGTTCATTTTATGCAGATTATTCTCATGCACTTTGCACTGTTATATGTAGTGAGTAAGTATTTAAACGTTTAAGCTTTGCGATTAATTAATATCAGTGTTCGTAATGTCTAGTTGAAAGAGTGCAAAATATTTATTCCAAATGCAGATCTAATAGTAGTATTTTGTCATTGTGCATCCGATAAATTACGCCTTAAATTGCCCGTATTATTATTTATAACTAATTATTCCAAAATTTAATCACTGTTTGGTATTTAATTGAAATGGTAATGTGGTTGTTGAAAACAAAATTAATCATGTTAGCGTTCGTTTGCAATCGTCTGACCAAAGAACGTTTGACATCTTTTTCCCGGCAGGCCTTGCGAGAAACGTTTATATAAACATTTAGAATTCTGAATGTAATGTATATATTTTTTGCTTACTAGGTTTAGTTTATTCTTTTTCTAGGATTACCTAATTAGTTATACTGGTTTATAATTCAGTCTAATATGTTTATGTACGAGTGTGTTATGAAGTAAAATTACAAAAACTTGAACAACGCGGTCGAGAATCTCGTTTATTCCTTTAGTGTAATAATATTTTTTTCAATGGTATTAATTTCTTACGAATAATGTTATAATTCCAAAAATGAAGTAATTATATTGATTAAAAATATGTCGTATCATACTTTTCGTAATGTTTTGGTTTTACTAACTAGATGCAACTTAATTATTCCATATATTTTAATATACCAATATCAACAGGGAAAAAATGGAAATGACCTAAAATATTTTTCTAAAAATTCGTTAAACTAATTATAAAAAAAACTAAAATTTTGTGCATTATTTCCAAAAATATTTCATTAATATTTTATAAATGACAAAATTTATTATATTGTATATATAACTACCATTGCATACTTATAAGTTTTTAAACATTTAATGTAGAATTTATGTTGATTTTATTTTGCCCAGTTTTAATACAGTTTTGAAGTATGATAGTCTTGTTACTAGGATAGCATGAATCTGCTAATACAAGTTTAATACATTTCTTGACAAATGTTTCTCTTATTCATGTAATATAATATATAAATCATAAAATAAGTTTTCTTAAAATAAAATTATTATTGTTTATTGGAATTTAAAACAATTCTGTATCTGTATGTTAGTATTAAAAATAAAATAATAATAAATTTTTAATGAAGCATTGATTTTAGCATTAACAATGTAAATATATATATATATATCACACATGAATAAATGGAAATGCAAGCTACTTTTCCTTACAAAGCCGTCCATGAATATATGCTTCCCTTTAGGCTGATAGCCTTTGCATGCTTTGCCATATTCTATCAATCCAAATGATGCAAATATGCAGAAAATTTTACTTTCTTTGAAAGTTAATGCAGGAAATAAAATTCAGTGCATTTGTAAACTACATTAGTTCTCTTATAGCTTGGCATTTAATTGTCCCAATGATTTACTAGTCCAAACTAATGGCAGAATTCAGATATCGTTCAAATAAAAGAAAATTAATAAGGTCTGATTTTTAGACGTATATATGAAGATTTATTTTTTTTTAAATATTATTTTAAGTCAACCAATTAATTTCAAATTTAAGTAAGTATTCATGCCTTTCAGTAGCATTATTTTTGGAAATCTTAAATTAAATAACTGAATGCAATATTTCTTGTTAATAAAAGAAAAGCAATGTTATGAAAGACTAGCGAAGTGGATTTGCAAGTTCTAATTACGAAAGGTCCCATGCTCTTAAGGGGTCATTTTTAAAAATACTTAATTAAAAAAAAGTATTTAACGTAAAACTTCCAAACTTCACACATGTGGAATATTAATTCTATATATTTTATCTCATTTTATTGATTAATTTCATAGCATTTCGTGTGACACTAGTAGAAATTATTATTAAATTTTATGCAGTTTCTGATCTATGTTTTGATTTTGTTATTAATTACGTTAGGTTTACATAAGATTTAAAATTATGTAAGGTACAAAAACCTTCTGCATCTATTAATATATGCTGAAGTGAATGAAATTATGCCAGTGAAATTTTTTAAAATCAAAAACAAATTTCTGTGGAAAATTAAAGTTATAAATTCTAAATGCAAACAAAGGAGTGAATTTGAAAGTTATCAAATAAGCCAAAGTGTTGGTAATTTTTTCAGTTTTGCAGAAGAATTTTTATACTGTTGCAGAATGGGAATATGATGTTTGGTTTTGTTAGTACAGTCAAAAGTCGTTAATCCGGATTCGTCGGGACTTCGGCGATTCCGGATTATCAATTTTTCCGGATTACAGATCATCAGTTTAAATCTGGTAAGATGGCATGCAGAAATTTTAAAATTAAAAATATGAAACCGTAATTTATGAAATAAAGAACAATTATGATCTAAAGGGTATCAAAATTTACAAAAAAAAAAAAAAAAAAAAAAAAAAAAAAAAAAGAAAAAAAAAAAAAAAAAAAAAGAAAAAAAAAGAAAGAAAAAGAAAAAAAAAAAAGCTTAATATTTATTTGTTTACTTTATTAAACATTTCTTTCAATGTAAGTTGTTTAAGTTGCTTTGTTTTATGTGATAATACTTTCTCTTTAATTCTATAAACAGCCATAATTTCTTCTTCAGTTACAAAGTTCCGCTGTTGAAGTCCTATAATTGCTGTGTCGAGAATACCGACTAATTTGTCAATCGAAATTTTTTCGTTTTCAATAACCTCTGTATCACTTTCTTCACTATCGGAAGCGAATTATATTGACGAGGAATTTGATTTAAATCATAAACAAGACGGAGTACATCGAGATGAAATACTACATTTAGTAAGGAATTATAAGCCAAATAAAATAAAAAACATGCCCTGAAGATAAGGATTGCTGACAGATGAAACATCCAATACATTGCGCGCCGCGTCCCCCCCCCGCCGCCGCACAGTAGCGTGAAATTGATAAACAGCAGATTTCTGAATGGTTAGATAAACAAAGGATTATGCCTTTATCCATTTTTTTGCAGCAATTCCACTTTTGTTTAATGGAGTTCGAAACATACTTTCGCTTTGTAGATCCTTTACATATTAGTAAATATATATCGGAAATTCTATTTGACATAATTGAAAGTTCAAGCTTACTTTTATAAAATTGCTCTAACAGTCTTCAAAAAATAATAAGCCGGATCTAATTCGAAGATTAAGGAACAACGCAATCTGTAACATTAATTGAATTACATAATTTTAGCTTAGCTTATACCATCCGTTATACATTAAACGCACATGTGTAAACGTATTATGCGCATGCGCACACGCATATTCGCAGCCGTAAAGGTCTTACGCGCATGCCTCAACGCGACGCATGCGCAGAAAGTTTGTAGCTTTGAGGTCCGGATTATAGATCAAACTGAAGTATTGCAACTTAAACACGTAATTTAGCTTAAAATTTATTTGAACTTAATTTTCTAATTTATTTTGATCATGTATATTTCATGTGTCATAAGTCTTTAAAATGAACTTAATTCTCATCCTATTTATTAACACAAATTTTTTAAAGAAGAAAAAGTCACATTTGTTTTGCTTAGTTGCCCACGAAAATTTAAAAAAAAAAAAAAAATATTTGCATAATTATCCCCCTTTTAATGCATTTAGGAAATGAATATCCC